AGAAGTCATTTCTCCCCAGAACATTTCACTGTAATCATAAGCCTCTTCGGTCTTGGAGTGCAAACAATTCTAACTAGACAAATTGGTCAATCTTACGGGTTTACTGTTGACACTCTAGCTTCTCGGCTTGGTATCTTTTAATGYACTGCAATGCCACAATTTAGTGATTTAAGTACATGTTATTAATAGAGTAGTTGACATATGAGTGGAAAACGATTGAAAACGTCGTAGCCATACTGTGATTACTCATWGTGATTGGAGGAATTACTGCAAGACAATGGAAAGCCATTCCAAGGTTACGGCATGTCGTACCGTGTACSTGTTTTAAGTCAGTACCGTATGGTTTCCCACTCATAGTTCTGTGATAATGAGATATAATTAGCTCATGCATGTATTTATGTAAAAAGGAGAYAATTTACTTTTAGATATTACYGCAATTTTCAAAAGCATGCAATCTCTGTGTCTCTAATTGGCAAGCTCAAACTTGGTTTTTGCTGCCGCCAGTCAAAAATATGACAGGTACCGACTGATTAGGTTTGATTGGCGGCAGCGAAAAAAACAAATTTCAGCGTGCATCTCGAAGACACAGGTTCGCATGTTTATGAAAATCGCAGTAACAATAACATTAATTTTAATTCTAACTACAAATTCATGAAGTAAATTTAATTAAATAATGATAAAAAGTTTATTAATTCATTCGGCATTTTCAATTCTAAAATTTTCCCGTTCACCAGCCTATTAGGGCTTATAAGTTGCGACGTATTTCCGGATCCAATCACACAAAAGATCGCTAAAACCTTGCCACAACTTTTTCCCAGGATTTATTCTCTAACTTCAACAATTAGATATTTGAACAGAAAATCCCGCTAAATTATCATAAATGTAAGTATATATATAACATACACTTGGCTAATCATTGGACATATCACGGATAAATAATAAATGCTGSGTGTAATCAGTTAGTCTGGCCAACAGGTCATGTTCACCTGAAAAACTGGGATAGCTTAGCATTTACTACACATAACAAGATGTGCTTAATATGTGAGTGMAGGATGCCGGCCTTACACTCTAAAAACAATGCTAACGTAACAGGAAGCCCAAACATAGGTTTTACAATATTCAATATTAAAAGTAGATGCCAAGGCTTTCTGTGTTGGCATTATAAAAATGTCTAACAACTAGTCAAAAATAAGCACACATCCAGCTATGATGATTACTACTGATGATGAGTAAAAGAAAAATCAATAGAGAGTTTTCATGTAATGTCATGGAAGCCATGTTTGAGGGCAAAACAATTTTTTTCTCATTTGGGAAAAAAAAATTCCTTTCATGCAAAAATATTGCATTTTTCCTGTCCATAAACATGACTGCCGTGAAAAACCTCTATTGTTTTTAACACACAAGTCAATGGAGGCTAAATACTATCTGCATTTGATTATTACAATCATACCAAAGGTGTACTTTATAATTATCGATGAAATATAAGATTTTGGTGGATTTTTACTATTGAATGCGATTCCTTAAAACTCTTACCAATGGTGTTATTTTCACATGTGAAGTTCTATATCATAAAATCTTCACATGTGAAGATATTACTTTTTAGTGATAAAGAAAAATTGGTATTTCATTGATAGTTATATATTCAAATAATATACATTGTACATAATGCTTGAGGGTATACAAAGGAGGTTGAATAGAACAGAAATACACTCCAACTGCAACTGCAGCAGTCATTTACATTGGTGGATAGGGTTTCTCCTGACCTGGAGGGGGGTAAGGCTGGCCTTGTCCCGGTGGAGGATAAGGGGGTGGAGCACCTTGTGGAGGGTAAGGCTGTCCTCCGGGTGGAGGGTAAGGCTGTCCTCCTGGTGGTGGGTAAGGCTGTCCTCCTGGTGGTGGGTAAGGCTGTCCTCCGGGTGGAGGGTTAGGATGTCCTCCAGGCGGTGGGTAAGGTTGTCCTCCAGGTGGTGGGTAAGGAGACTGTCCAGGTGGTGGATAAGGAGACTGTCCAGGTGGAGGGTAAGGAGACTGTCCTGGTGGAGGGTAAGGAGACTGTCCTGGTGGAGGGTAAGGAGACTGTCCTGGTGGAGGTTGAGAGCCTGAGAAATAATGAATATTCAAATTATATTCTTAATTATACAGCTTCTCATTAATCCCMTATAGGTAACTGTCCAATTATTTTCTTAATTGGACAGGTCATGCTGATATGGGATTAATTAGGCAGCTATATAATTARTAGGTAATGGGATTTCATGCTCCCCAATCAAGAAATAATTAGACTYGAAAAATTCYTCTGACTGCCAAATTGGACTCGGYCTACGRCCTCATCCAATTTTGTCAGTCCTYGGAATTTTCCTCGTCCAATTATTTCTTAATTGGACAGTATGGCGTCCTATTRCATATACTAATTAAATATAGGTACACAACTTAATCTTTTTTTTCTTAAATAAATTATTTCTAATTAGAAAAAAATCCTTTACTGGGTAATTGCAAGTACATCAGCTTTTGTGAAATGCAATTTTTTTTGCTACASAATTCATGATTAACAAGATTTCCTTCATGACAACAGAACTTATACATAGAGCTTATTACACTGCTAGTTGTGTATTACAGCCAGATAATTTTATGAGTGAAAGCTGCCCTGGACTTTTGTGCAGGAGGTCGTTTGAGTCCCAGCTGGACCTACACTCAAAATYTTAAAATTACTGAGGAAAAAGCGCTGCCTTTGTAATTACATCTGCAAATGGTTAGACTTTCAAGTGGCTTGGATGACCACTTTAAATGACGGTCCCACCTCTCCACACTTCATTATAACTAACCAATATTGGAGAGACATAAAAGAACCACTGAGGGTTAAAAAAACCCTGGCAGTGATCATCCTCAGTGCACACACTTCATACTAACCTCTTATTATTGTAAGTGCCTTCTATTATACACGCGTAGAAAGGGTGCTCGATTTTTCAAGAATATTGAATATATGGTTAAGTTACCTGGTGGAGGATATGGACCTGCTGTTGCGTGTCCATATGATGGTGGAGGTATTGTTGCTGGCTGAGTAGGATAACTTGCAGGAGCCATGGGTACTGCAGCTGGAGCCTGATGATACCTTTCTGCTGCACRGCGTCTTCTAATGTAACAGAAGACTACACAACCAATGACAACTATGACAATGATGATACTGATGACAATGATGGCAACTTGTGACCCTGTATCATGGATACCTATATAGTGGAGCGTAAACAATATTACATACAGTTAAATGATTGCCAATTTCATATTACRTCCCTTTTTTCTTGTACCAAAAGGTTTTGCTACTGAGAACAACTAATTAATGATGGCCCAGGTTTCTAGCCTGCATGGGTCTATGCAATTCTTGAGACAAAACGTTTTATGCAAAGTCAGTCCATTTTATCAGAACTATGWGGAATAATTTAGTTTGAGCATAGCTAATAGAGAGGGTTGGTTTGGAAACTTCATAGAAAAAAAGCTATTGTTTGGCAAGCAACGTTGAAAGGTTTTATCATGTGATACTGACTGTGCACAATGAACCAAAGCAAGTATGGCTAAAATATGGTTTTCTTTATTGTTTTAGTGTATGAACATTTTGAAAGTGAAAAATTGCATTCAATGACCACAAACTAAGTAGATCAATATTTCAAAAACCTTCTACATTCCCTATGAAAAACAGAACGAATTTTCCTTCTCTGTGCACGGTCAACATCATATAACAACTGATTAACAATACTAGTGGAACAAAAACATACAAGATTATGTTTCCAAACCATTCCACTCCATTAACTATATGCTTTGAGGGACATGTAAAATGAAAAATGTGTTGAGGGCAGATCCAGTGGAGGGGAGGCGGAGTGAGTAGTCACCATCCTTTGCAGTTGAAAAAATATATAAGAAAAAAGGGGATAAGGTGATACCTAAAAAGAAAGCCTTGCTTTTGTGTTACCTTTCTTGGTAACAGTTACTCCACCTGAAATCATTCTGGTTCTGCCACTGTGTGTAGGGATAGGGCATATATGTTTATGCACCATTTGATACTCTAAAATACTTCTAATTCACAGGTTTTAAATATGGAGAGATGAAAAATGAAATGGAATGAAACTTTTTTTTATATCTAGGGTACGGTAATCCCTGTAGTGAACCTAGGGACACTGTTAATGGGATGCCTGTGTATCTCCTGAAATGGGAAAAAACCCCTGAATCAAGGGAGAGAACTCTAATAAGCCTGAARCGAGATGACGTTTTACCCCTGACTCTATACCATAATAAGTTTTTAAAATTCTTTCATATTAAAATTTTTGATTCCTTAGAGAATACAGRAACAATAGTCATAATTAAARAACAAAAGCAGTGTGAAAAGGATTATGGTCTAGAGATAGGGGGTAAAACGTCATCTCGCTTCAGGCTTATTTGATATAATGCTGAGTGAAGTAATCAAACCCAAGACTCTAGAGTGCACCCTTGGTGATTTAGGTATAAATATAACAACAGCAAAAAAGACTGGTACATACTTGGTTCATAAAGCACATATCCTAAAATAAATCCCCTGTGATTGACATTTCTGGATCCTGTTTTAAACCTGATGTACACCCTTTCTTCAGAGGAGGTGACAGTGAAAGGTTTCCTTCTGCCACACCTACTGTCCATTACAGTCTCATCTGCTCTATTGTATGACTTATCATCATCATCAGCTAAAAATATATAATCATCATGTGTTAAATTAAACAAAATTTTAAGTGAGGATCTTCACCCAAAAAATAATCACCATGACAACGTTGTGACAATGACATTAAACAGTATGGTGTGCAAATATGTGACTGACAATGTTTAGTTCCAGAAATTGTCCATACCCWCCCCAAAGAGGAATTTGGAATTTCCRAAGAGTGGAGGGGGGGAATTGGTCAGAAAAAAACAAAAATTACAGAGTTTGTAAGATGAAAGTTGGAATTTCCGGGGGGTAGAGGGGTGTCTTAAAAAAATTCCTCCGTTATGGGGGTATGGATAATTTTTGGAACTACACAATAATGCATTTGCATGCTTTTATGCACTGGCTTTTGTGCATGTAAGTTAAACTGGCAAATTTCAATGCAAAGCTGGCTTGGTTTTACCAAATAAGGTGGGTAAAAGCTTATTTTCCAGCAAAAAAACTTAGCATAGAAGTATGCGAATATGTGGTCACACACATCACACTGTAGCAGTACATATCATACAAGTATAAATGCATGTCACACTTAACAGGGCTTAGCAGGKCTATAGTTATAGGGAAGGGGCCAGGGAGGCCAAGCCAGAGGTGGATCTTGTATTTTAACCAGCCTATCGGCCTCTTCCAATTTTTTTTTCAGTCCTTGGAATATTTTTCATCCAATTATTTCCAAATTGGACAGCACRAAGTAGTCCTATCACCTATACACTAAACAAAATCACTCCTATCTGATTGGAAAAGAGGAGTACAATTAAAYCCCAAATCGTACTCTGTAGAGTCCCAATTAAGTTGGTCAAATTTGTTTTGAGTGTTCTATGAGAAAAAATCGCACAATCTTCTTGTACAGCAGTTTTGGAATTTATAGATACTTGTGATGTTTTGAAAGTTCTCAAATTGAACTCGCCTAAAGGCTTGTCCCCATAAATTCATACCCATAAATTCTGAATTGTACATGAGATTGTGCAATTTCCTATACGAAGTGGCGTGATATACTGGGCAACATACTGTACCCCATAATTTAATGGTGTCAACTTGTTCTGTTAGAAAGGTAAATTAGCCATTTCCAGCAGTATGAAAATCCAATAATATTTTGAATATTCTGTTAGATCTTTTCAAATGGACTAATGCATTATTGAAACAAAATAATGGTTCAAATAATCATATAATTGAATGAATAATGAATTATAGGGGGTATGGTAGACCTGGTTTGACTGTAACAGATATATATGATTATCTCAATAATTACTTGCACTAGCAAACCAGCTATGAATGTTACCAGTATTTTAAAAGCACAATATTTACCTTTGATCTTGATTTTTACATCATCACATCCAAAATCAGATGGTAGGTCAAAATCCATAAAAGCAATCTTGACACTTTTGGATTTGCCGACCTGAATTGACCAATAGCAGCTACCACCAGTGGCGTAGTAGTTATTTGGCCAMTTTGCAGATGAAATGGTGCCATAGTTGGTACCGCTTTTAAGAAAATTCCCACAAGAGTCTTYATAAATTGGAATAAATAGTAAGTCAAATTAATAGAGTATTTTATTTCTTAAGATCAGCTACACCTACTTGCAAGAACGTTGTCATACAATATCAGAACATTAGTAATTTAGTGAGAAAGGAATACATTAAAAGACAAAAGAAAAAGTTCAGCTTCAGTGATCTTCTTTTGTTTTTTGATATAATTCCTATTCCACTGTATCACTAATGCTCTATTTTCGTATGACAACGTTCTTGCAAGTAGGTGTATATAATTGATTGAAATAATTACTTTATTACATGAAATTTATGCGACATCTTAATTTCCAGATTTTGGAGGTTGCAYATTTTGCGACATTTATTTTTGCAATTTAAAAAAAAAAAAATTCATCTTGTGGTTTAATTTCACACGAATTCCTCCCAAATTTAATTTTTTTATTTTCTCAATAATAAAAAAACCTTAATTTCTGTGTCATTATATTATCATGACACTTGTCACACAATTTTTGGGGGTTTTGAAAAAATCACATGATTAATTAAAGTGTTACGAAAAATTTCATGCAATAAAAGATAAATGTGAAACAAARAGTGTATATGTACCAATTGCATCTATAAATGGTTAAAAAAATTCTYAACAATTATTCACTTTAGGAAAGTGAATATCGGGAATATTGAGGCAAATAGCTGTTTTATTATTTTTGACACAAGTGAATATAATGAATAATTGAGAGAGAGTTTTTTATATTTTCTTCCAATTTTATTTTAATCTATGCAAGCTGCACAATTCAACAAACAAGCRTGTGCATGAGTGCTATATTCACCTGTAGGTGAAGATATATAGCAGCATAAGACGTAAATTGTGATCAATGAGTGTGCTGGATATATTATATTCACTTAATGTGTAAATCTTCTAAGTTACTTACTAATTTTTCAATTTCATTGTAATAAAATAATAATCATTCATCATTTAATTTTATGAATTTTTGGGAGTAGTGAAAACCATGATATAAAAAGTGTTTCAAAAATTTTATATACAGTGTATTTAAGGTACATGTACTAAAAATTCTGAAAAGCCAAAAAATCTATTACATACAGAATTAAGACTGTTACTTACTTGGCATGTAAGCTGAAGGATAAAAAGAAAAAAAAAACAACATGTTATTTATGAGAAATAGAATAAATAATTGTATACTAGCTAGATATCACATTACTTATTTCTATCATTATACTAGTTTGAAAAAATGTCAAAACAATGGGTAAGTCTGATATTCAGTGGACTATAATTTTTGATTTAAGGTGGCTGGCTWAACTTTTGAATGTTCAATTTGAACCCACGATATGTGCCCAATCAAAAACCGCTGAATAATCTTCACAATTTTATTGAAGAACCATACACGTTTGAACTTCAAGAGGGCAATACCCTCAAATTTTGCACGGAACTTGTATGCTTTTTTTGTTATTTTCTGGAATAACAGTTAATATACCATTATTTTTCAAAGTTTAATAAAATTTTGTTTATTAGAACAATRTAAAAAATCATTCTGTTTGTTTTGTGCTCAATTTTTATGATAACTTGCACACCGTAGAACCTTACTATTGTAGACAATGAAAAAAGTTTTTTTTTTTCAGGAACATTTTCCATTGTCTACAGTAGTTCATTATTCAGTTCATATTATCAGTATTTTATAAATATAGTGCAAGTTACATGTTYGGAGAAAATTACTCATGTTTCTACCTTAGTTTTGGTTTTATGATTTTTTGCTTGATTTTCGCTATTTTTCTTCCAAAATTGTATGAACGCTTGTATTGTCATTCCAGAGTGATTAATTCAAAAACGAGCTCRGGACCCCGGAAGGGGGGGCATCCGGGAAAAAAGTACAGGGGATGCTTGTCGCATCTCTTAGGGGTAAAATTCGTGATTTGGTATCTGTTAGGGTGTCGGAAAAGGAGAATGCACAGTGTTTTTTATGAAGAAGTTTTCGTAAACCTTTACCGGTGGGAAGCTTGTGATGTACTCAATTCTAGTCATTAAACGAATTTTAAACATTTTATCTTTGCACTAATTTTAATTTAATATTATTTGTTGTGGTATCTCTTAGGGGTTAAAAATCATTCAGCCACGCCCTTTTTTAAAAACTTCCGGTATCTTTTAGGGGTTTTTTCGAAAATTTCCGACGAGCAATCCCCAGTCCTTTTTTCCCTGGAGTCCCCCCCCCCCCCTCCTGGGCTCTGGACAACCCATTTTTCTTTGCATTTTCAAAATCAGTATTAAATTTTAGGTTGAAAAAGTTTCAATTTTGAATTTTACACTTATTATTTACCAAGTTAGCCACATTAAGACAATTAAAGATCTATTTGATGACTTTTGACATAAAATGTTAGCTGACCTTAAAATTTTAGTTAATGAGGTCTAAATACAGTATGATTTWAAAATCATATTTAAAACCTCCTGATCTCCATAGGGAATCAACATTACCATTAAAAACAGCCCCAAAGATAGTTATTTATCAAGGAACATCAATAATTGACCAAGTGGCAAGGCTAAACACTGGTCACCATGATATTGATCCCAACATATTGATAAAARTAACAAAATGGGAATATCTTAATTAAAAGTACCATTTATCACAACCAAACATTCAGTTTTACTATTAATTTATATGTTACTTACAGTTACTTTTGGGAAGTGTGGTGTAATGTGCCACAAAACCCTTCCCTGCGTCTTCATCATCAGAATGAAACTTGATACGCAGGCAGTTATCAGGAGAGTAGACATCAAATGGTCGTTGTGAATTGATAGAACAGTATTTTCCAATCGATGTTCTGCTAACACAACCAACAAATATCTCCACATAGTCTTTTGGCCAACATGTTGGCATATAGCCTTTTAAATCAAATGTTCTCCAAGTTAGTTTGACAACTGTTCCAGATGGAGCATTAATATCATAAGTACAGTCCATGTCATTAGGGTATTCTGCATTTAGGGTACTTGGAACTATTGAAGTAAATCCTCCAGAGCCAGATTTAGTTGGCRAGCTAAGATAGCCAGCTCCTAAATTAGAGCTTGTTGTTAGTCCACATGCTGTTAATAAGATAAACAAGAACATAGACTATCAAGCTTTCATCTCACAAGTATCATTTATTGTTGATGTCTGATCAAGACTAAGTCCAATA